GGTTCCATGGTCTTCTGAATAAAAAAGTGACTGTTATAATAAATGCCCTGTCATTAAATTTCATTAATCCATCCGTTATATTTCACACCCAAAATGCCCTGATGTCTGTTAAATGGATATTGCAAGAGGACTGCTGTATTGTTAGAGTATGTAAACATTTGAGTATTATCTTTGAAATAATGTTGAGGTCATATGCTTCCATATGAAAACTTCTTGCTCCGTGTTTAGGTCAATCGAATTCTGAAAGTTGCTAAACCCAATATCGTGGTCATGAAGCTACTGGCAGGAGGCCACAAAAAAGACTCAAAGGTAAGAAAATGCCAGTCAAATACAAAGTGAAATGCAGCATTCTACACAGTGCTACCACAGATCTCTTTGAGCTTAATGAGCAGGTCAGGTCAATTATTCTGTTAGAACTGAGAAAGTAATTCAATCTGATTTTCCATTGGAGATAGTTTGTTGTAGTTATTTGTATATTTAAAAGCTCTCATTTCTAAATATTTTGGAAAAGCAATTGTGTATGTGGGATGGCATGTGCAAATATGGGTATTCTTCAAGAGCTGGGAGAAGTAATTGGTAGCAGTGTTACCAGCTCCTTTTGCGAACACCATTGGGAGAGTGGCTGCCAGGATTAGTGGCTGCCACGTGGGTTAGAGGGAGGAGGGGACCTTCAGACTTCTCGGCACAGGAGAGTGCAGGAGCACACTGAAGAGGCACACCAGCACTCTACAGCTTTGTGCCCTTCACTTCTGGAGAATGGTTGGCATATACAGAACTGGAGTGGAATATTTTTCATATATAGAATTATTTTTTTTAATCTGTTGCTGTTGAAAAGCTTTTCTTGTATCTGTACTCCTGTGTCATGTTTTACGTCTTTTCTTTCCAGGTTCCTCCTGAATTTGATTTCTCCCCACATAAATATTTTCCAGTTGTGAAGCTTGTTTGAAAGACAAAGACATTATTGTTAGGATACCTGAAGGATACTCTGTGTATCAGATACCAGCTGTAGGATAGAGTATCTAGAGTTGTACCCAGACTGAGAGAGATCTCCAGGATAAAAGTACTGTGATGTGGAATATCTATAGTCTGCCTTGTTTACGTGGTCTGATTGACAACTGCTGTTTTAAAGTGGTCTGTGTAAAGTTTTACAGGTGAAGCTGATTTTAATCAACTGTATCGTTAAGGAATGTTGTACCTTAATCTTACTACAGATTTAATCATAAATCATTATTATTACTAAGCTGTGACAGAAGTTGGTGGTTTAGAGATTTAATAATATTCAGGATGGAATAAAAGTAGTACAATAGAGCATCATGTCTGATACTGAGTTGAGCAGCTGGAACTCTACTTGGAGCAAAGCCACTTGGGAGAGATTTGTGACTTTCCATTTTTTTGCCTAAATTTCACCAAATGTTCTCACTTTGCAAGTAGAAAAACTAGGTTCTTCTCTTGCCAAGTCCTGTTAGCTGTAACAGTCTTTGTGGAAATGAAGAGCAGATGGAAGCTAGTAATTTTGTTTCTTCTGCACTGAACTCAGTGATTTTTCCTTTACTGAAGTCATTAGTTTAGGAGGTGCTTTGTCTCAAATGTAGAAGTCTCTGAAGTCAGTAAGAAACAGAGTAAGTTATTTCTGGTTGTAGTTTGTTCCTTTGTCTTTATTCTTCATGGTACTGAAGAATCTGCATAGCTTAGCATTGTTAGCGGCACAGAATATGAGACACCAGGCGTGTATTTTAACTACTCGGTAACTTTATGTCAATACTCTTGTTACTTTGCCATAAGAGGGATTGCTGATTTGTTCCATCGCTTAGTCAGCATGACCTTCATTCTCTTATTCTTGACTGCCATGCTGCTGCTGATCTTACCACTTTCTGTAAGAGTTGATAAAGGTAGAAAACAACCCATATAGGAGGAACCCCAAACCTACCCTTTTTTTCCTGGAACATTCTTCCTCTTGTGCTTCTGGATGTGAATAATAGAAGTAAGGTGCTGTGTTGACCAATCTGCTACCAGGAGGAAAAGGGAAAGCTGATCTGCTCTTGGATAAACCATACTGCCAGGTCTTACCTGCACCACAGAAGCAAATCCTCCAGGTTTGATGGTGTTGAACAGGACAGCGCCTCATTTTGGTGCAGAATGGCTTCCTCTATAGTGCTGAGCTTGGAACTGCCTCCTGACCATGTAAAACTTCAGTGTTTTTCTTAACATATAGTCATACTGTTGAGTAATACCACTTTAATTCCATCAGCTAAGCAGCACTGCTGAGCTAGAGCTGGACAACAATTTTTAAAACTCTTGACTGGAACACATCTGCCAGCAATTTTCAGCTTGCTTTTCCTGATTTCTCTAAGGAGGCTACATACTGCCTTATGTTTTCTCATCATCATGATTAGTATATTGAAATGCTTCTTCATGGTTGACAAAGGAATGAAAACCCTGCCAACGGTTTGTAAAGATGGCAAAGTGGTCCTAGTGCAGGGCGCTGAGAATTCATCTGGCTTTTGCTGCCTTTTTGTAAACATCACAAAATCTGTCTTAAAGATTTTGAACTATATGGCAGCATATCAAGGACACCTTTCAGTATTTCTCCAAAGGAAGCAGCAATTAAAAGAGAGACCTAGTTCCACATCACTTATAGAACTAAAGAAATGGAAATTGTCTTTCCCATTTTCATTCATGTTAGAAGTTGAACTGTACAGAATAAGGTGAAATAGAGAGTAGAGATTATTTTTATTTTAAAATGCTTATCTGATGATATGGATCAGGCTTAGTTAAAAAAAACAACCAAAAAAAAATTATCAAGAACAAGTTTTAATTTAATCCCGAGGTGATCACAGGAAAGGAGCATGCCCTGCCCCTGCAACTAAAAATTTTAGTAATTTTTTTTCACTTTTAAGTAAACCACAGTTACAATTGAATCTCGTTTTGTACAACTGAAGTTATTTAATTTTAACATCATATATGGTAGACATACAGGCCCCTTGTCTCTTGGAAATCTAGCACCAGTTACATTCCACTAGAACTTGAAGCTGTTGAGAATTAAGATTGTATTTCTTCATTGCTTTTTACACAGGTTTTCAGATGCTCTACTGTCAGAGATGTAACCAGTGTGCACTGTACATAGCTGGTCTTGTTTCTGTGGAGGACTACATCTAGCTGGCCAGTGAGAAGCCCAGTTGGGTTGGGTGCTGTATAAAAACAGTCAAAACAATTTGCTTTAAAATAATTCACTGGCAGTGTATTAATTACCTTAAGGATTTTGTTTGTGATTTTACCAGGTTTAGGTTAAAGCTGTTCATTCAACCTGAATACAGTGTTTCACTGTACTTTTTCTACTGTTAAATATCATATATTCTAACAGTTGCTAATAAAATCCTGATTCACTTCATCTCAGCTACATAATTGTTTATAGATTAAGCCCTAAGAAAGTGCCCTTTTTACTCAGAATGTGTAAACATTTTGACCTTAAAACCTGCCATTATTTCCAAAAAATAACCTAATATTAAGTTTCCCACTACTTGTCAGTTAGAAGAGACGCTTATGCTTACTTTTCTCTCCTGCTTACAAGCATTTGTTTTCCCTGCTCTATTGACTGTAGTAGCCCAGGCCAGTTAATAAATCTGACTGAAGTGGTGAAGAAAAAAAAAAAGTAACCAGGAACTCAGTAATTAACATTAGTGCTTTTCTTAGAAGAATTCAAGTTACTTGTGTCAAGTTGTATCAGTGAACTGTTTTATGGATTCAGGCTAAATAGGCACCATTTGACTTGAGGTCTGTCCTTCAATTGATGACAATTAATACTCATCGCATACTAAATAACCAAACTCTCACATGCATATTGAGACATCTTAAGGTACCAGAGTTGTAAACTGATATGCTGAGGAATGACACACCACAGAAGTAGTTACAAAATGGAAGTGCAGGAAGAAAAAGCCAAGACAAAGCTGTGTTTTCTGAGGTGGGAGTTGCTGGTTGGGAAGTCAGTCATGTCTGCTGTCACGCTGTCTTGAGGGAGGCTGGTTCATACTCAAAAAGATTGCTCCAAACACACGTGTCAGTCTTGAGAACATAAAAATACAGTCTTCACACAGCTGGCTACACAAAATGCAGGTTGGACTGCAGTTACAGGTGTCTTTGTGCTAGTAGAGGGTTACATTCAACAAATTACAGAAGAGACAAAGGCTATAGAACATTTAAGACTTCATAACAGCTTCACCTGTGGGAGACCTCAAGATGTCTGGTAAATGTCCTGTTTATCCTCCCTACAAGTCCAGCACAGAAGATTAGTTGCTTTGAACAGCTGAGATGATTGCTCTTCTACAAGGTAAGCATCTGCCTTTCTGCATTTTGGCAAAAGATGGTGGAGGGTATTGGTTGTAGCATGCCATTTCAGATGCCTTCTGTCATGAAAAGTTCATACTGTGTAACATACAAGGACTATAGACATGCTTTCTGAGTCTTACCTACATTTCAGTAAAAAGGTGCCAGATAGGCACATGGGTAGGCTGCAGCATGGGCCATTTTTCATCTTTCCCATGTTTTGTTAAGTTAGCTCTTCTTACACTGTTCTTAAAAGCTAGGCTGGGAATTTCTGTACTGCATTGCTCCTGGGAGAAGTCTGTCAGTGGCAGAGGACTCCCTCATCTACCACCTATCCCCACAAACTGTTACTGTACAAGTTAGCCAACTTCAAAGTTACTATACTTGCTGCTGGCTGGTTTCAATTTTGTAATCACTAGGAAGGGGAGAGTCATTGATTGCAGAGGTCAAGCTGCTTCAAAACAAGCCCCTGAAGATTGAAGATTATTTTTTCAGCACTGAAATAGTACTGAATAGTACTCAAAAATCACAAGAAAACACTGGTTCCTTTGTGCCATTATTGAAGATGTGAGAAGATAATCAAAACATTCCCAGATCACTTTGACTTTCAACACTGCTGCATTTACATGAGAAGATGATGATGAAGTTGCATCACGAATCTCCTTTGTTCACAACCTCTGTCATACTTCAGCTTGCTCAGGTAAGTGGTTCTCAATGTCTTCAGGGTTTTGAACTAACCAGGAAAAAAATAGTACAGAAATATCTTTAAAGAGGGTGAAGTGATAGTTCTGTATCTTGAAAACAATGTAAAACACAACAGGAGAAATTACGAACAGGACTGTGAAGTACTGTAGAAGCTACGTACACTGTCCCCACTGCATGTTAAACAGTAGCTTCAGTGAGGCTACACAGAAAATGGGTCACATGTTCAAGGTGAAAAAAAGCTCAAAGACCAAACAGAAATTAGCTGGCTGCATCTGCTATAGGAAACCATTCAAAATACCATCTTGAAAAGTTCAGCATGCAGTACTTAGTTTATAACTTTTTTTTTTTCCTTTCTCTTACCATTTTCAATCCCTGCAAGAGCTGCTTGCTTGTCTGTTTCTGATTCAGCTTCATTCTCATCCAAATTGTAATCAACGTTCTTGTCCTGGTTCAGTGCTTCATGTGGTTCCTGGTTGTCTGGAAAAGCATTAAAATTAACTGGTTTTATGCTGTATCATAAGGTCATCTGCACAAAAAACAATACTCCACTGAATTACCTCTGCTGCTGAATTCACTGCTATTTAGGTTTTCATGTTACTTTCCTTTAGAACTGTTAAATTTCAAAACAGTTTTCACTGTAAATCTTGCCTGAAAAACTAGATAAGACTCTTTTGGCATGTGGAAAGTGTAATAAAAATGAGTCAGCATTCTGATGGACACAAAGAAAAACAAAATCGAACAATTTCAGAATACATTAAAGACAGCTTAAGAACAGTGAAATCTGAAGCCAATGCTGAAAACTTGGCTGTGGTGTTTAAATGTATTGCCACCACTGCTGAAATAGATCTCTGCTCCCTCCTTCTTCTTTGAGCCTGTTCATCAAAGAGAAGGCTGTGAATATAGCATAAAAAAGCATATTTTATGATGTGCTAACTTGACACAAAAGGGCTTTTCTATTAGAGATTTTTCTTCACCCAGCCATTAATTCATATTGAGCAATTTCTATTCAATATCTGAATAGAGCCTCAGAAGTAAAGGGAAACATTGTTTTTGATTGCTAAATTACTATCTTTATTTTTCAGTGAGCTAGCCATTAAAAAAAAAAAAAGTAGGGAACAGAGGTACAAGCATACACTACTTAGAAGAAATCTGAGTCTCTAGTTCTGAACGTTCTCAAGCAAAGCCATCTAGAACAGGTTAAAAACAGGCTTGAAAATTTTAGAATTACATTGCCTGTATTCAGACAACCACACCAAACAGGTTTTTATAGTTACAGACCTAAAGGTCATACGTCTAAAATAAGCTTTTACTGAAAGAGAAAGGGTGCTCAGAGAATGCAGAAGTATTTTTCTACCTTAGGTTCACTTAGGCTACAAAGGACCCTATGCAGTAAGGTATGGTACTTTTGTTGAACAATCCAGCCCAAGGAACGTCCTGCTGGCAATTCTAGCTCACAGAAACTCTGACCTTTCACAGGCTACACAGCGAAGTTTTCTCTTCCACTAATTGCTGGATGATTTTTTTACCTAATCTTTCTGCTATTTATTTCTGTTAAAACAGAAACAGGTTAGGTAACTTACATATTCACAGCTCTTTGGGGACCAGCCTTCTCTGGCCAGTATCTTTTTAGAGCAGTTAGAAAATTGCTACTTTAGCAATGCAGATGAGATTATTTATCCCTGTCCAGTTACCAACACGTGTTAACATCATGACTCATGATTCTATGAAGGCATTCACCAGGAAAGCATAAACATTTTTTTGTGGACATCTCTTCCCACTCTGCCATAACGGCTTTTCTAGGTTACTCTGTGTGGACTACTGGCTCCTCCTGAGACTGAATTCCTCTAGAGGTGGAGGTGTGTCAAGATTCTGGTAAGGTTTAGGCATGACATCAATACTCTGCTGCACAATGCTGTTCACAGGCTGACACATGGTTCAGGATCACATGTAGATGCCAGAAACTGGTATCTTGGCAACATCTGATCTTCACTTTCCAGGCTCACAATATTTAACTTCAGACACCTGAAGTCTTAGGTCAAGTTTTATTCAGGCTAGCTTATTTTGACATAGGGATAGCTAACATTTACGCAGTGACACCACAAAAAGACTACCTGCAACACATCAATACATAGTATCTCCTCATCAGTGCTTTGGATGGTTAATTATTATCTCATCCCATTCAAATGCATCATATTCTTACAAGGCTTTAATACCTAAAAGTTTAAGGGCCAGTCTCCCCATGTCCCAACAGCCAACAGAGTGAGAGAGACAAGAAAGTTGCTATGGTGATGTAGAAGAACTAAGACTTGTAGCACCATGTTGCACTAACAGAAGCCTCCATTTACCCACGGACTGTAGAAGGCTGCTGGGGACTGACTTAACGCTTTTACATCTCACACCAACCTTTATGAAACCTTATACTAAGCCTGGCCAGCTGCCACCACTCTTGCAGAAATTGTGCCCTATCCCACACTTTAATTTTTTTACTGCTCTTAACAATATGCAACAAGCTACCAACCAGCCTTTTCAGGGGGCAAGTCATCCTGCTTAGCATCGTAGTTTAGGAGCTGCTCCCTCTCCGTTTCCTCAATAGCAGCCTGCTCTGCTGGTGGCTCTAATGCATCTTGCCCAGCTCCGTGTTTTTCATCTTGAGATGGATTTGGCTCCTTCTCTAACTTGGGCAGCATCTCCTTTTGAACTGCAGCAGTCTTGAGTGAATCCTGTGGCATTTTCAGTTCACTGGGAAGTTTCTCCTCTTCTGCTCTAGGCTCCTGTCTTCTGGTGTCAGCTAGGCTGTTTATTCTTTCTGTAAACAAAAATTATTCAAAGTAAAAAAACCCTATGGCTTCTCATTACAGGACAAGTTAAAAACCTTTAATAAATACTGCTCTCTTTCTCATTACACTCTTGTTTTACCTCTGAAAAAGTATTTTTCAACCACATCAATTCCAAAGATAAAAAGACAACAACCCATGTTTTTCCTACTGGGAACAGCTCAAGGAGAGACACCGTTTCCTGTCAACACATCCATGCTTCTACCTGCTTATGTTTGGTATGAGCAGTTAATAAAATGGGCAAGTGGAACAGAGCAGTTTACATGAACACTGCAGTGTGCTATATAAGAATCAGGTTTGTGGGTTAGATTTCATTAATGACAGTAAAACTAATTTGGAGTTCCAAAGTAGCTCAGGAGAAAGTAGTCACATGGGCAGATCTGCAAATAAGTACAGCTGTTCTTGTTTTTAAATATGAAGAGCAAGAGCAGAAGTACTATTCCTTTTAGCAGACATTACCGTATCTTTTTTTCCTATGTATCTGTATTTTTAATGAAATAAAATCATGATTAAATTTGCCTGAACAAACTATACATAAATGTCACCTTCAATTGCTAGGTAAAATGCTTTGCATACTCACAAGGCTTTTAATTTAAAATAGCATGTAGGAATAATTAAATAGGAATTTGAAGTGAATTACACACACTACTATGCAAGACTGATGCACAAAGATACATCCATTCAAATTAATAGTTTCTGTGAGTGAGTGTAGTGTCAAAAGCAACCATTAGTTTAAGCAGTCGGACCTCCTGCATTCGTTTCCCTAATGTGCATTTTGCTCAGTGACAACATTTGGAAAACACAGATGTGTGTTTGTTTAAAGACGAACTTGCAGCTATTCCGTAGGGAGGGGTAGCAGGGTAAATATATCAAACTTTTGCATTAAACTTATTTTAAAAAGCAAAGTCATTGCTTCTATAAGCAGGATATTTTCTCCATAGTAAATGCAGAGTATGACTCCAAAACTGTACATGTATTTTCCTTTACATGCAATGTGTCAATCACCACAAAACTGAATCAGTAGAAATGCTAGTAATAAAAATGGTTGAATACATACTATACCTCTCCCCAGCTGGAAAACTGGTTAAAGTTCAGTCTGCTTCTGTTGATTTTTCCATCTTAATGTTTTGTACAAAAATGTTTTCTAAATGTTCAATTAAATTACAAACACTCTTAACCAGCTGCTAGTCAGACTGATTCCCACCTCACCTTCAGCCTGCAGGTCTATCTTTTTTACTGTAGGTACTGCTTTAAGTACATCTTCATCAGGTTTCTGCTGTTCCAAGTCAGCCTGTTTCAACTCTGTTGGCTTCAAGGCTGGCAGCTGAACATCAGCCTATTAAAGACAATGTACACAGTTAAACATCAGTCCTGGATTTGGAAAGGGAAGTGAAAGTGAGACAAGAATTCAGTAGGGGCAAATATTCCTAAAGCACTCATAAATATTTGGACTGAAATTTTTACTGGTGATGGATGTACCCTACAATCTTGAATATGCATTTATATTTCTATATAACAGCATAACACACCAGGAGAATTTAACAGACCTTTAATCTAACTGCAGTAACCATGAGGTTACTGTTCTTGCTTAGCGTTCCACAAGCACAAAACAACAACCTGTTATTCTCTGAGGGTCACAGAACTGTAACACCACACATTTCTCCACAGCTGCCCTGCTACAGCGTCAGCACAGCAAAAAAACAGACTACATGAACTACTGTTAGTAATCTGTAGGGAGAGGTAAACTGAGTTTGGGCGTAGTAAGACTTCCTAAGCAAGCTTTCACAGAACTGGTCTAAAACAACACTGAATTCAGGATGAAGAGAAGAAAAACAGTAAATCAACCAACTAAACAGCAGTATCTGTTTTAACACGATGAAGCTTACTTAATAATGTATTAAATACTGGTACTGCTGCCCTCAGCATCTGACCTGCTTTGAGATTAGTGACTGAGATGTACATCACCTTGAAGATCTTCCAATTTAGCATTTTAAAATTTATGTACAACTTCTACTCATATTAGCATTTAATTGGCTGAGAACTTTGTCAGTTTGGTTCACACAAACAGCAAACATGAGAAGTGCGTGGAGTCTGTGCTATAGCAGCTTTGGCACAAAAAACCCCAACAGTCTTATGAAACTGTTCTATGGGGAATTTTTGTTTTGTTTAAAAAATCAGAATATGCAGAGAAGGAAAAAGCATACAGACACTAAGAGACATAAACCTTTTTATACTTGATGCTATAGAAATTAGTAAGAAGCAGTATGGTATACAGTAATACAGCCAACAGAACATTTTTTGTTACAATTGTTGGGAAGACTGTAGCTACCCATTGTTCTAAGCAGGTCAATAAACCACTAGGTTGTCAAACACTCACACAGTCATCTGGAAAACTGTCTGTGGAAATAAGTGGTTAAATAACAAAAAAGCCAAAGTTGTAGATGATTTGTAGGACATGATTACTTGGCTGTTTTTCTGCCAGGCAGAACTAAAGACCTTACTGGGCCAACACCATGAAGTCTAACACAAACAACAAGTAATGTAACATTAACTCTCGTGACAACTTGAGAAGCAAGTATTACCACACAATATTTGGTTACTGCAGTAAAGATATCTAGAACTCCATTTTCCTTCAGTCATTAAAACAAAAATGCTATATTTAAACATACTTTTTTATAAATAACAGATTCAAGATCACTCTCTGCAGTAGAGATCACTGGAAACCTAATTTAAGACCATTTTCCACTTCATGCTTGGCATGAATTCTTATGTAAAAATACACTTAAGCACTTAACAGAAATAAATTACATCTTAATTAAGCAGGCAAAAGCCCTTAGCTCATCTTAAATTTCTAGCTTAGTAATTTTTAATGATGGGGTCAAATAAATTAAAAGGTATTTGCTGCAAAAAAATGTTAAGGTGAAGTGTTCATGTAAAATATAATAATTGCAACATGTTGTATATTCCTCAACTGAGAATTGTATTATCATTCTTAAAACACAGAGCTATAAGAAAAGCTGTGTGTTTATTAATCAACACTCCATCTTTTTTATTTTAACTCTGACTTTTCCATTATATAAGCATGTATATCTTACCAGGAATTCTTCCAACTAAAAACACTGCCTAAAAATGTACATAGATTTCCTCAGGGTTGCCCTGCACTAATGATGAATAGCTCAGCTTCTGTACAAGCAAAAAGCTGCAATCCTTGGGCAAATAACTCAGAAGGTTACAGCTTGATGTAAGAAACACTGTCACAGATACCAGGGAACACAACCAGAAAAAAAAATTAAGGCTGTAGATTTATTAGTGGTTATGTCATATGGGACCATCCCATCTATGGATTAAAATACAGATAACCTGCCCTGCCAACTTTGAGTAAAGGCTGCCTCCACCTATGGGGCATGTTGCAGGAGACTGAAATTGTTCTGCAGAGGGACAAACTCCTTGGGTTCCTTCTGGCATGATTTCTCTTTCAAACTGGAAATGGTTGGAAAAAAACAGCAAACCCAAACAAACAAACAAAAAGCATCTGGTACGAGTAATGTAAAGTCTTCTGCAAGGAACACTGCAAATGAAGTTTACACAGCTCTCCTCCATGGTCTTCCCACACCAACTTTCCAAATAGTGAGAATTTTACATCTTGACATTAAACGAGATAATTTCCAAATCATGGACTTTTAATGGACTTACTATTCTATATTCACTATAACTTTTAGTGATTTTATTTACTTATTTGACACTGTTGGTAAAATTTATTGACAAATGATATTTCACATGTTTCAGTTTTTGTTGTTGGGGTTTTTTTTAAGAGAGAACTAGTTAGCATTTCCTGTCTCTAATACTTCATTCATCTTACAACCTGCATACAATGCAGGTCCCTGAATAAAAGGCCGTAACTTCAGTTCTCTCTCCCACCATTTTACATAAAGGACTGGACACAGACTAGAGCCATGATGGGAGCACATGGGGACCTCTGGGCTGGTATTTCAGCTATTTTCTCCCACCCATTTCCAGCTTCTTGCAAAACCTTCTGAAGTAATTCAATTGCTTCTTCTTGTAGCCTTTTGCTGGACACAGAGAAAAGACCATATACCACCAAACCCTTGCCTTTGCAATGAGAGTTGGCCACTCAGTGATTTGGGAAAGGCCCCATTGCAAACACATGTGAAAAAACATTGCTTCTCTAACTGGTGCTCAAAGTCTTGAAGATAGGTCTACTTTGGTACATAGGAAAATAAAATCAGTTGCCTTCTCAACCAGAAGCTTCACTGTATGTTTCCAGGGCCATCTGAATCTAACTTAACAAATCAAGTCCTATCCCTAAGCAAATCCTGTGTGAATAACTCATATGCCAAGACAACAGAATGATCTGAAACTTTCTCAGGATTTCCGTCCATCCTGTGTACCCCGGGAAGGAGTTTGCTAGTACAAAGCCACCCTTGCAGCAAGCCTGTCCTACCCTTGTGAACGTCTCATATCACGTACAGCAATACTTTCTGTGATTGACTCAGAATATCCAATAGCAAACAGCTGACATTTTATACACCCCTCATTCCCACTGTAAAAGGATGAAATTAGGATCTCTTTGAAATTTCATAGCTGGTGGACATCAAAGACCCTTGGACTACAATATCATATGCAAGGATTGCTGGTACTCTGAAGTGATTCACAGTTGAGAAGGACTTGGTGGTGATGATGGACAAGAAGCTCAACATGAGCTAGCAATGTGCACTTGCAGCACAGAAAGCCAACTGTATTCTGGGCTGCATCAGAAGTGTGGCCAGCAGGTCAAGGGTGGTGACTCTCCCGCGGTACTCTGCTCTCTTGACAGAAGAAGTACATGGAGCTCTTGGAGAAAGTCAAGAGGAGGCCATGAAGATGATATGAGGGCTGGAGCACCTCTCCTATGAAGACAGGCTGAGAGAGCTGGGATTGTTCAGCCTAGAGAAGAGAAGGCTCTGGGGGGACCTTATAATTGGCCCTCCAATATCTGAAGGGACCTACAGGAAAGCTGGGGAGGAACTTTTTATAAGGGCTTGTAGTGATAGGATGAGAGGGAACAGTTCCAAACTGAAAGAGGGCAGATTTGGATTGGATATTAGGAGGAAATTGTTTTCTGTGAGGATGCTGAGACAATGGAACAGGTTGCCTGGAGAGTGTTCAAGACCAGGCTGTATGGGGCTCTGAGCAAGTTGGTCTGGTGGGACATGTCCCTGTCCATGCAGGGGGGTTGGAACTAGATGATCTTTAAGGTCTCTTCCAACCCAAGTCATTCTGTGATTCTGTGATTTATCCTCAACATATATCTTCAACACACAAAGCAACTAAGTCTTTAAACAAAGTCAAAAGGAGCTGTGAACTCAGCAGTGGGCTCCACACCACTCCCAGCACCACCTATCAAATTCTGCCTGTCTCTGAGACCCAGTGATTTGGAGTCTCCTGCAGGACCTCTGCCTTGTTCTGTCCTCAGAATCACTCAGAAACATTCAACAATTGTGAAGGAAAGCAGTGCAAAACTTCATGAGATGGGTTTATGTTGGTTGGAAATAGCAGAAAGGCAGAAAATCCCTTAAGAATTTATTTTTTTTAAGTTTTAAAAAAAATTATCCAAACCATACCTGGCTTTGTTTTTTTACATCTTCTGAGAAGTCTTTGTTTTCTTTGATTTCTGGTATATCATTACCCTTTTTTGTAAGCTCGTCTATCCTTTCTTCATATTGATCTTTTAATTCTTTCATCTGGTTGATGCACTGTGACCTAGAGAAAATATGAACAAGTGAGCAGTTGTTAACTGTCCTCCACACTCTTGTAAAATATTTATTTTGTAAAATGATTTATTATTTTTTTTTCCATGTTACTACTTTCTTATTTCTGTTGTCTGCTTACATTTGAGAAGTCAGGAGGAAAAAAATGGGGTGTTAACCTAAGTCCTAAGGACAAATTCATAGTGCAGGTGGTACTAGATCTACTGGAAGAAGTTAATTTAAACTGCTTTTGTCAGACCAGCTCAAAAAGCTACTTCCATTTTCTTACTTTCTGCACACCAGTTTCAGTTAAGTTGAAATCAATTTTGATCCCATGATAACAGAAACATATTTAGATTTTAGCTGAGGAAGGGAAACAGGAAGGTACTAGTTGAAATAAAAGAACAGATGTAAGCTACTGCTAGCAAACTGAAGTCTTTCTCAAGATGTCACCAAAGTGTAGTGCTGCAAGACGTAACAAAATACATCTTACAGAAACTGAGTTCAGCGGTAGCTACTGTAAATTCCAAAAGGAGTATTTCCTAAAGATGCAACTGTTGTGTATCTTCTACACACTTCTACTAGTAATACACAGTGCCACAAGTGCCTTAACCTTCCTGACACCAAGGGTCTTCCGTTTACAGTTCTGCCTTTCCCTGCCAGCTCCTTAACCTCTAGGTAAGTCTCCAGGCTGCTGTGGCAGCGCTTTTCCTGCAGCTGGTGGGGCAGCATGTTCCCCTTTTGTGGCTGTGCTGAGGATCCTGTGCAAACCCCAAGAGCGTTGTTAGGCTGGATTTCTCATGGGAAGTGACTGCTCTAAGGGCAAGATCATCCTTTCACCAGCACTCTCTCACAATCTGTCTTGTACCTGTTGCTTTGTATTAGAGGAAGAATAATAGCTAGTGACTAACAAGGCAGGTGAGCATTGCCCTGTAGCACACATGCAGAAGGCTTAGAAACCAGTCAACTTGCAAACCCAAGTATGCTTCGTCTCATGGTGAACAGGGACAAGCAATAGTGGATTTGAGTGGAATCTCCATGACAAGTGCTAGGGGAAAATGTGGTGAAAATATCATCTCCATTGTCAGCACACACTCACTGAGTAGCATGCTGAAGGAAAAGGCTTGGCTGGGCACCACACTGCTTCTCTTCCCTCATGGCCCCAGTGCCAAAGGTATTTTTAAAACCGTTTTCCTTTTTCTCTCCCCTCTTTGGTTTATTCCACTTTGCTTTTTACCGTAAGTTACAGACCCTGTGTACACATCCTTCTGCACGCAAAAGCTCGCTCAACATCCTTTGTACAACAACATGGTCAACATAAATTTTACTTCCTCCTCACTAAGACAGAAAGGGGGGTGAATTTCTGAGCCTGGCTCTGGCAGTGTTAATACCTCCAGCAGCTGTTTTTTACAGGCATGTTCCAGTTTCTCAGGCTGAAAATAAACTATTACCTAATCCAGAGTAATTCTCAGGGTGCATTCCCTCTACAACAGCAAGTCACTTATTGCACTTTCTTTCTTCCCCATCCCACATCCCTATTTAAAAGCAAAAAATCTCTTCCATAGTTAACAACTAGAAAGGAAAAGGAGTTGCAGGCAGATATGCTATGAACTGCCAAATTAATTATCTTTATTACCATTTCTGCTTGATGAGGCATTTTTCTAAAGTCTGGTTTTGCTAATACATGGAGGAGTCATGAAAATAAGCAGTGCTTTATAAGTTGGTGGACACTGGAAACAATAAAACAACATAGGCTTGAGTTCTGCACAAAATCACTGATTTTTTTAAGGAAATAACAGGAAATCAGAATTGCCTGCACCTCAGTTTGCAAGCTTGAGAAAGATGCAGCAGACAACCTGAAGTTGGAGATAGAGCAACCTTTCATAAATGTTCTTTCATCCCACACTGCACATTAAAATAATGTTCAATAATATCTGTGATGAATCCTCATAATTTTAAATTTATTATGTGTGAAGGAATTCCCTTCTTGTAAAAGGAATTTCTGGAGATTTTAGTCCTTTACTCATGCATACAATGACTTCTGAAGTGTTAAGGACAGTGCTAGTTTCTCTGCCTCATTCTATCAACATGACGTACTTCAAGTGTGCAAAACTCATGCTCTTACATTCAGTCTCAGTTGTGTGTTTTTTCTCTCTCTCCCAAGACTGAGTTGTGTTAGTTCCTGTGATAAAGACCTCACCTGCACACACAAGCACAACAAATATCCTCCTCAGCTGCTTCCAGGCTCATCAGAGGAGTCATATGTCCATCCAAGGCCCACCTCCATGACCCCAAAGGAGCACAGAGACACAAGGCCAGTGTGGAGACTAAATTACAGACTCAGAAAAAGGCACATCTTGTCCAGACAACCCCCCTATTCCCAGGGCTATCTCAGGTCAGCCTCAGTTCCCATGTCCAGGCTTGGAACCCACCAAGATGAATCAACAGGAGCAAGGTGTTTCCTACCCAAGGCGGGGGACACGTTACAGGATGCATGGATAGAACATGTTAAGACTGCATGAGATTTTATATGGGACAAAAGGCAGGCAAAGGGATGGATCTCGGGTAGGAACAAGCATGAGAAAAGCGAGAGATAAGGGGATGAACAGTCAGTTGCACGTACACACGTTGCTGGTCAGCGCACTTGTCTGGCTTTGCCCTGCACCTGCTCAGCTCAGTCATCTCGTTTCTTCCTGCTTGCTTTTTAACGCTTTCCTGGGTGAAAGACTCTCTGTTCAGTGCATGTATGTGTGTGTGCAGGGGTGTGGGCACAGCAACTGGAGTCAGGCTGGGGTGGGAAGGCTGCACCAGGACAGTGGTGGTGGGCGGTGCAGGGACTGGTGCCAGCTGGGATGTGCGTAGGAATGTACCCCAGCATGTCCTGCACCAGCAGACCTCCTTCCTCAGGGGAATGGTGTGAGGATACTGCTTCTGCTCAGCCTCCTGGCTGCTTCCTGTGTCTGTGTTAACCTGGCAGGTGCACACATACATGTGTGCACAATAATGCTCCTACAGCCTCTCCCCCTCCCAGGATGCCGGATTTGCTGCCCTTGCCCTCGTTGTTAGAAACAGAGCCCCTTTGTCCTACAGGAGCATATCATAGGCTCTCTTCATTCCTGCCAAAAGACGTTACTTGTGCACTCACACTCTTAGATACATCAGGGCTGCAAATACCAACTGAATTATCAGACTTTTTACCACTAGCAAAATTTCCAAAGAAGCAGCTATGCAACAAACAAAGCTCCTAGGAATCAAAATGTATCTGAATACTAAAACATCTTCAAAAGATGAGTCCAGAGGCTTCTGTTTCTGGTTGCTGCAGCTGAGGAGGGTCAGTGCTGCCAGTCAGTCTTGGCTGAACATGCTCCCCGGTGAGCAGACAGCAGTGGGCACAGCATGCACCAAGATCATCTCAGTAAGTTGACTGCTGAGGAATGTGTTACACTTCCTGCAGGCAGTACCAGTGAGCTCACGTAACTCCTGCTGACTTCTGTTTGGAAAGAACCAGGCTTGCTCAAAATAGATTGCTAACATGAAACTCAAAATAGAAAGAACAACTATTTTCATGCCTTCCAAGTTAGGAGATGTTCTTATGCATTCCCCACATGCAACTTATTTTATCACTGTCCTCTACAGAGTACTATCCAATTCTTTAAAAAGACACGATGCGTGCAGCTGTTTACAATGTGTGCAGTTAAAAAAGGCATTTGACTTCTTTTTTTATAACATCTTCAATTATACAGTTATTTCGTTTTTCCACTGTGCAAAGTGTACTTGATACATAAGGTGCAAAAACTTCATTCATGTAACACCAAGGAGGAAACACAAGCATAGCAGAAGTAAAGATGAACAGAGAAAGACAACATGTTGGTTTACTCCCATTACTGAAGGGAGGAAGGAAGAGAGAGTAAAAGTAACTTTTTCAGTATTTCTAATACTTGTTTCCTAGGCCTATAATCATGTCTGGAAAAGGTTGGTTTGTAAGCATTTAAAATCACAGTACTAAGTAACCATTTAGTAGCAGCAAAGAAGGACTATAGGTAACAAGTACAATCAGATGTTCCTTTCTACAATTACCAGCATGCAATGCAAGGTCAGTAATGTAACTTGACTACAATGGTGAAATATTAATATTCCAAGATCCCCTCATAAGGTACACAACAAGCAACAGTTTAAAAATGCATTTATGTATATTCTTGCTAGAATTATGTGACTAGTACAGGATCATTCCATAAAATGTACAAATAGTACAAACCATTCCATAAAAACCTGAGCGCAAAATTTGTTTTCCTCACTTGCATAGCTACCAAAAAAAAAAAATCATTAAAAAAAATTCCAGGAATAGAAAGAAGTGTTACTCAGCAAAGCCAGAGAAGAAAGCATAGCTCCTTGACTGAGGTAACATGACTCCCATTGAAAGATGGCAATAAATAGTGCTACTGCTCCAGGACCAACTGGAGGGAAACTAGCTAGCCAAGCTCCTTACCAGCCAGAACTATCAGTAGAGGTCCAGGAGTCCCAGCTCTGTCATTTAACTAAACAGCAAAGGGATGGTACTTAACAACTGAGGTACACAACAAACTTCAGACGGCAGAAGTACCTTTACAGAAACCTAAGTGCAACATAGCTTAATAAAAGGTTGGTACAAAATTGAGTCTCCAACTTCCTTCTACTTGTCTGTTAGAAGTCCTAAATTATTAAAATTCCTCTAATGCATTCCAGCTGGGTCATCATTATTAAATGAATAATAATGCCCTAAACCAAAAGCTTACACAACCAACTGTTAATCAGTCAGTATCCCCAAAACACTAATCCTTAAATCTTAAGTGAGGAAAAAAACAACAGAAAAACAAAACAACAAAGCAAAAAAACCAACAACAGGTATTGCAAGTTTAGCTTGCAAAATTCAAATTACTTGATTGCCAAGTTGAGCTTTGAGTAATAATTCCCACAAAATACGGTTAAATTGGCTGCTGGAAAAACAACTTATAACTAGAGCACTATATTCTCAATGGAAAACCAGGAAGGACACGCAAACAGAAAATTCTGTTGCTTTTATTTATCTACGTACCAGAGGGAATACAATAGGATGTGAAGACAGGTAGAGGGAACATTACTGAACAGAAAGAAGTAGAAAATTCTAGCAGAAATTCCCAGAAATAAGAAATGTGTATTCAGTGCAAGGATACTGCTAATGACTTGTGTTCAGTTACCCATGCCTTATAATTCAGTGGGAAATCTCTACCAAAAAAAACAGATTACTAGATATGAATCATAATGCAGAACACACTGCTCTGGCCATAGCTGTACCAGGAATTTTCTGAGACCTCTGAGGTACAGTTTCTCAGTGGCTATTCCCGCATCTTAGTTCTCAAACTTCTTCAGAGTTTAGCCTCTTAGTTTTTCAATTTTCCCCACAACTCTTACATGAGAGTCTTTCTACCTTTCTCCTCCTGCAGTGGAAGGAACGTAAAGAAGTGTGGAAGAAGTCTGTGAATGCTGAGATGGCAAGTCTTGCACAGCCTATGCTCTTCTCCAAGATCAACTGTGAGCCACTTCAGAGGACATGTTAGATGTTACTTTCTCCTTAAAACTGTACATTTACTAACAGTGCTACAGTTATGACAAGAATACTCGGGGTTGTAGTCAAGTCTGCAACTCCAGAAGCCGTCTTTTAGAAAGAACATACTTACAGGTCATACGAGAACTTCCTCTGAAGGTTAGTCTGGTTCTTCTGAAACCAGTAAACATCCAGCTGTAGCCTTCCATATTCTGTCTGTAACTCTTTCAAGTGTTCTGACCAAAACAAGATTAAAATATATATTAAAATACACGCACACATAAACACCTACATATATTACAATAGTATTATCAAAAAAACTATCAATAGTAAGCACACTAACTCCATCCATTTGTCATGCTCACTAAATTTTGTGTACAAATGCATAGATAATAATTTAATTTATTCATCAAAGATGCACAGGTAGAAATAGCCTTTCAGCCTAACATATTAACAAAACAGTGTAACGTAGATTTTTAGCCTACTTTTCTTCATTAACAATACTCTAAATCGCATGTTAGGTTTTCGCCAGAAAAATCTCAAGGTCTATGAAATACTGATCAGAACACAGCATGAAATGGCATTCATATTTACTAGCCATCTAAAGATAAGCTTGTAGTACTTCCCTGGATCATATGAATTCACAGTTTTATTCCTCAAAATCAGAGGTATCTCTGATTTAGAGTTTTCCTCCTGATAGAAAGCTCTATGTGAGGACAGCAAAAGAATGCACTACAACGTATTTACTTGTTTAGAGAACTCAGGATCTTCTCCCTGGAGTTCCTGAGGAATAAATTGCTAAGAACAATTCTGAAGCACGAACATTAACAAAAAAGTAATTAGACTGAACTTTCTTATTTAATAAAGGACTTTGTGAACTCCCCTGGTGCTAAAATGCATGACCCAAACACCTCTGGCAGGAACACAAGAATACATGCAAAAGGTAGAATTAAGAACACATACAGTAACAGTACATATGTAAGTTGCTTTTATTCCATATTATTTTATATCATAAGGGTCAGGAGTCCTGCATCAAGCATTAAAGGGACAAATCCTTCTACTGCTGAGGCAGATCAGTCTGACATTTCACTGAACTAGAACTATGCAGATGCAGGACCTAAGTCACTGCAGCTCCTGCATCAATACCAGGACTTGAAGTTGAAAGGAGCTTTTTCAGAAGATGCCAGAAGAATGCAAGTCTTAAAACAGGGGGCTTTTAAATCAATACAAGGAGATGCAGGGGAGGTATTACAACACACCTTGTAGACTCTGAATCAGTCGTTCATTTGCTGTGATGTTGCTCATCAGTGCTGCCTAGAAGGAGCAAACCAGAAAACACTTCAACTGTAAAGGATCTGTGTTACCATTAATACCACAAACACCAAAGCACTCGTTAACAAGGTATTTTCTTCATGAAGTGCTGGGTTTGCCAAAGCAAAAAGAATTCTAGCTTCTTGGGATAATCCTGTAAATGTGGGGGGAAGGGAATATATCTCTTCACTTAAACAAAAAGAGGAGGAATTTAAAGCGTCCACTACTAAAACTGCTTGCTGCTTTACGGTGGTTTACTGTCACAATTGCAGTCCCAGTAAGACTTACTGTATTTAACCCTTCAAGGAAAAAGAGACAGCATAGTGCTGTTTCAGATCAACTGCCCCCTCGCCAGGGAATTAATACACCTTCATTCAGGCATTCCAGGATAAGCTATGAAAGCATCAGTCATAGCGTATAAAGCAATTCTATTAAAGCAATGTGAAGCCCTTGCAATGCACCACTTTTCTAAAAATCCTCTCCCTCGCTTTGATAAGAAAGTGCTGGAGTGACCTTTCATTCCTTCACTCTGCCCTCTCTCTCATTCTGAAGAGCCAGCTAACATGGTTTGTCATTCTTTCATCAACCCCCTCTACCAACCCACACACACACGTGTCCCAGAACACTTGAATATGGACAGGATGAAGCAAGTCTAAATGAAATTAATTCCTGTGGGTCAGATGCCAGGATAACTGAGATTCATATTTAACATTTAAAAAGCCTTTGGACTACAAAAGGATGAGATCCACAAAACCTTCAGAAACTACATTTCACTGCCAATTTCCTCACTATCCTTCTCCCAGAACGCCAGCATTTTGCAAGGGTCCCAGATCAAGATACATTAAGTCTCCAGTTGCCCAAAGTTTTTGCATAAGTAGTGATGTGTTTCTATGTCCACACCACTTTAATGTAAAGAAACAACTGCATCCATTCCACCTGCCCAAGTCACCCTGAAACGCTGACAAGTGTGTTTTTTCACAGAGACTACAGTTAACAAATGCTGGTTGACTAGGGAAAGCAAAGCATTCAGTCTGAGTGAGACAGCACATAGCACAGGTGTAGATTTTGTCTTTGCTGAGCCTCTACACAGGCCTAGTTCAAAGAAGTGATCATTCACATGTTGATGAATAGGCAGCCATTTTTAAACCAATAAAAGAAATAGTCATATACCATTTTACATATACAGACTGTGAACATCACTGTGAAACCTTGAGTGCAAACACCTTGCTCCTTTGTTAAAAATGAAAAAAAAAGTAACAAAACCAACATGAATAACATCTTAGGAAGGTTTAATACCTCTCCCTCTCCTTTCCCACAGGACAGGTAAAAAAAGCTTTGGATTTGTTTTCACTGGTTTATTGGGGAAAGGAAGTTAAAAGTTCTGATGGAAATGTCAAGTTTTGCTAATGCATAAGCAACATAACCAGGTTGCTCCATGATTACCACCTTCTCAGTTTCCAGTGTTGTCCATTACCAGAAACTGTCAATGGACTAGAAAAATCAGTATGACATGGCAACTTCATGTTCCTACAGTTTGTTGTATTGCAGTTTTCTGTTAGTTGTCGGGTTTTTTTTCTTTAAATTCATGTCCTAAAAACCAGGACCACTTATTTGATGGTAAAATAGACAAGTGGTAATTGTTTTGTACATGAGAACAACAATCACTGTTATTAGCTGAGGTCAATAAAATTATTTGCCATGTGAAAGAGGCTCCTTCAGTAACAACAGGGAGGAGGAAAAAAAAAAAAAAAAGCATGTATTTGTCTTTCTGGATTGCATATAAAACTTCCTTTTGGCAATGCCATACCTACCTCCCTGAGTTTGTGGGTGAGAGTCCAGGAAAGAATCACAAAAATCTAGTTGGCTGTTTAATATGAGCAGGATATACTGTTTAATCATTTACAGGGCAGTGCTCCAGCGCTAAAACTTCCCATCTGCTCACATCAATAACACAGGGTTTCTGTTCCAACTCCTGTTGTCCAAATGTTAACTCATCTTCACCTCATGGCTGTGAATTGGCAGAAATTGTTTTATTTTGCAGTTTTAGGCAGGTCAAGAAAGCAAACTGCTGGGAAGCACTCAGCGAACACATGCCAAGACTCAGTTCCAGGAAGAAACTCACATTTTAAAACTCATTCAGCCCACAAAGCAACACCTATGATTCCCTGAAGTCAGAATCCAGCTTTTGGAAACTCACTGTATCACCATAGAGATATCTAATCTTCTGTAACAGAGTAAACCCTGTAACATAGAACCAGCTGTTTGCAAGTCTGCACACGTCTTGCATAGAATTCCTTATGACTAACACAGAGGAAAAGTCATTTTCCTGATTAGAGCCAATGTGGTGGACAGCACATCTTTAGAAACCAAAAGCCACCAGCAGTGATGGAAAAATCTCACTCTAGCTGGACAGCAATTTTTCTAATGAAAACTGCTAGAGATAAATTATTATTTTTTTATTCAACATAGAACAACAGAACTGGTTTATGTGAGTAATACTCCCCCTAAGAAACAGAAGCTAGAGTTCTTGTTTACAAAAAAACCCAAAACATAACAGACATACCTGCTAGGAAGCTGAGATAATTTATTTCAAAGCATATGCTTTAAGAACATATTCCAAACTACGTACATGTATGTGATTCAATTCACCTATTTCTTTGAGGCACTGCTCCAGTAACTCCTTCAGCATTTGCCAGAGTCATCAATCAAGCTAATCCAAGCACAATGAACTGATGCAGGTGCTAACACTGACTATACGTGATATTGCAAAAGGAAGAAGGAATAAAATAGTGAAGAATTTATGAGAGTAAACACTGTGGTTTCAGAACTAAAACCTAAGAAAAAAAGGAGCTTTGCACTCACAAATACAGCTCCTACAAAGAGAAAAAGGTGAACCACGACATCAGTAAACCAGCTGCAAACAACACCACCAACTGGGAACCAAGCAAGCTGGGAGGGGAAGGGTTACACATGCAAAAAAACTGCGGAATCAAGCATTTCTAATTAATCAGGGAGAAGAAGGGCACTTACCTCATGATCAACTCAAACTGATCTAAGTTCTTACCACAAAGAAAAGGAGCACTTTGGCATTGCTCTCCAATTTGCTCTCCACCGCTATGCTGGCAGCGCAGCACAAGCCGTATTTTGATTATCTGTTGTTCATGTACTAATTACATCTGGAAATTCCCACTCCCTTCTCTATTTTTGCAAACACACCTCCCCACACACTCATCCTTCTAGTGCTGTGCATCATCATGTTTTTCTCTTTGTCCTCTCCTTCTTTATACTTCTGAAATAATCTTCAGGAGTAAAGAAACCATTTATAATAGCCAATAAAAGGATTTTTTCATTCTAGGATTAATGGCTAACTCCGTATTAGGAAGTGGGGAAGCAGTTAATAAATAAAATCTCTAAGACAATATTTCTCTTTCAGGTTGCTCTGTGTGCTGCACTCTTGTATACTTCAGTGGAGGAGCACTCGTTGAAGGAAGTCTAAAACAAATATTAATCCCAAAAACAGAGGTGTCATTGTTAATTTAAAACTTATTTCTCACTGAACTGAATTCCATACAGAAATCAGACTTTTCTCCATTCTCAAAAAAAGGAAAAAAATCCCAACCAACAAAATCCAAAACAAAAACCTAGCTCTATTGCCAAAGAGTGATCCGATCGTGGTAAAAATTGGGGACTCAACCTTCATTCACATACTCGGCTAAAATCAATCTAGAGTATCTTTTGTTGTAACGAAGTACACATGCACTGTGACATGGTGCAGTTTAGCCCTCAAAACAACAGCAACTGTTAAAATTGTAAAGTTAACAATTTCTTACATTCACAGCAAAAGAGAGATGAAGGTGACACATATGAATAAAAAATTAGTTTTACAGGTGCAAGGCAACAGCAATTGGACTGGAGAAAATAAGCCCCATGCAGCTACACAAATTTAATCACATGGTTGTATTTAATTAAAACCAAAATAGTAGGCAATGTAAACAAAACAGAACCCTATGATGTCAGAATATTAATACAAAACCCATACAGATATATATAATGTACCTTCTGTTTTCCTTCTTTTGCATTCAGTCTCCTCTAAGCAGAGGTAGAAGTGGTCCAGTAGTTAACTTTTAAGCTACACATACTCTAAATTTCCACTGTTAGGGCAGTACCCAGATGATCCACTTTTTTTATTCACCATGTAAAAACAAATTTTAAACAGAGGTAGTTTTCTAGACCTCTGTCATACCAGCTATGAGCACACAGATCAATTTATCTTGCTACTTTAATAACATCATGCTGAGTGGGGTGCAAGGCTGTGCTTGCTTTTCCTTACAGCCTTTTTTTAAAAAATAGAAGATTTAACACTGTTTGGTTTAAAAAACAAAACCAAAACACATATAGGCACCTTCTCCTTTTCACAGCAGGCTTCCTTCTCTCTTGCACCTCAGAGAGTGTAATTCCTTTTGAGTGACTCTCCACATATGGATAGGTATTTTGTCTCCAAAGGCTGTCTCAGAGGAAGGGAATCTGGGAGCAGCTGTGGCCATTGTTAGAAGACATTGAGCAACAGACAGTGATGTGCTTCACACAGGATGTACAAAGTTTGGCCCCTTTCCTCAGTAAAATAAGATGTGGGCTGGGTAAGAATTACTTCAATCCAAAGAAAATCACAAACTGCAAAAGCACGTCCTAGCAACTAGAAGTAACAGCTTACATGTACTGTTCTGCTACACTCTCCCAAAAGACTATCATGGCTGTGTACATCCCAGAAACCATGAGTCCTGAATAAGAACCGCACAGCATATTGCTCTTCAGAAAATGTATTTTGGATTAGAAACAGCACTTTTACACTCCTGGTTCCTTATCTGTTGTTACTAAGAGTTCATGTAAGCTCTCTTGATCTATTTAGCCTATTTCTGTATGATTTCCAGAAGCCATTTGCTAAACCCACGTTAAAACTTAAAAACTCAAGATTTTTTTTAAAGCAGGCTGGTGATAACTATGCATACTCAGACCTAAGGGAATAATTACAAAGGCATTTTGCCACAATTACATGGCCAAAGTGCAAGGTGAGCCCACAGGGTACTTTGAAGGCTCTGATTATCTCCTACCTTTTATGCTCTCGCCCTTTAAGTAGCACAAGGAGAGTTCTAGAGAAGAAGGCCAATCAAACTGAAAGGTATTACCACACTGCCACTGACAATGACTTGAACATGGGAAGTATCTTACTGGTGTATTAGTTTGGTATGAAACTAAATCAGTGGAATAATTATTCTGAATTTTATCAGCAGAGTAGTAAGATACAGCGAGCAGAGATGAACACTACTTAAGAGTTGGTTTTGGTAAGGAGTCCAGATTGTGAAGGGTTGTTCACATATAGATTCCTTATATAACCAGAAGAACCATAATTTCTTCCTTAAATTTCTCCCTCCTTTGAGACACATCATTCACTCATCAGCTGAAATTATTCTCATTTTTCTTTAAGAACAACAAGAACTAAATAAAATCCTGTTTGCAACTCAAAGATCTGTCTAGTTATTTAGACAGTTTGTGTGACTTGTAAAAAGCAACTTCAGAGACTCAAGTTTTGGATCCGCACTAAACTTACCTGGACTATGCAAACACTTGCTGCTAATTCCCCAAGGGATAAATAAAGTTCTGTTCAAGGACCAAGTACCTTACAATCAGAAAGGATTAATTCACTACCGGCTTTCCAGGAATCTCAGATTCAACTGGAATCCGTGGAGCCAAAACCAAGGATTTGTGTCCCTGTGTGCGTACACAAACACGTATGTATGCATATGTGAATATGCAACACACACTTATACACAGATACAGACATAAGCACACAAAAAACCCCCTCCACTCAGATACTGTCTTTTCTTTTATTCCACATCCCTCAGATGGTGGGCAGCTTCTTCAGATCAAGGTCCTTAATAAGGAGACCTAAGTTTCCCTCCCTTTCCTGCCACCATACATGGGGCACTCCTAAACTAGAGTGGATGAAAGCCAGCTGGCCTGATGGTATCTTTTGACAAGTACACAGGTTCCAAATAAAACAAGTCTCCTAACCCATAAATCACGCAATTGGAAAACAAGCAACATCTCTGCAAGATACTTGCTCACATGTCACAAAGTGATGCTTAGGCACATACACGCTCATCTGACGACTTCAGGCGCCTAGGACATGCTCTTTTCCAGTCAAAAAAAAGGCAGAAGACAGGAAATCAGTCCATTGGACCACTTTTATCTAATGCTTCCTACAGCATCAGCTCCTGCCATTTCAGTAACAACCTTCATAGACTGTATCATTATTGAATATCTGCATTTTAGGACTATGGAGGGAAAAGCACTTAAAGAGGAAGGAACAGCTATACTAAATCACCCCCAAAATCCACCTCGCTCAGCATCCAGCCTCTAACACTGGATGCCAAATGAACAACAAGGCTGCCATCATGCACTGGATTTTCCAGGCAGCAGCTACTTCTGGCTGATAAATGCTTGGAGTCAGAAATAACACCTTTGTATTGGGTTATGGGGCAGGTGTTTGTCCAAGGTTATCCTGTTGCTTTTTTAACATACACACACCCACTGCAACTAGGTTCTGTAAATGTCACACAAGCAGCCTGACTATCTATTGTGTGACAGAGCACTTCTTCTGTCCAGCCTAAACTACAACTTGCTGACTGCACTTGAAGCCCATCAATGGACAGAGAAGAGCCATGCCTTGCTTCTCACAGCCACAAGCATACTTCCCACACCACTCGGGATCCTGGCAATACCTGTGATGGCTCTTGTCCAGCCTCTAACCTTCACTGTATATTCCTGTAGAGAAATTACTCCACAGCTTTGGCTATCCTCCTTTTTCTCTGCCTGCATTTCCAAGGAGTCAAAAACTCCACTGGTGACCTCCCCACAGTGCAACAAATTACCCAGTTTGTAGCTAAGCTGCTTTTTAAGTATTGCCTTTCATTCACTCTGAAGTAACACCGTCTTACCACATGGCTACATAATTTCTCTACCTGCCATGCATGTGTAGCCTTTTGCAATTCCAGGTGTGAATGCATTCATTAGTCTCCCTTCTTCCTTTCTTTCTTTCAGTCAATACTTCACGCAAACAGAAGAGAGAAATTATTTAAGAAACACATTTGTCTCAAAAGAGGTAAAAAGAATTGGTTTATTATTTCTTTGAAGACTTTGGAAAAAAAATATTTCAAAAGAAAAATATGCTACTGATGTGCATATTAGTGAAACAATTCTACCTTCTATTTTTATTTCCCTAGGCTCTTCAAAGATTATTCTGATGACATTCTGTTCATGCACTGCAACTTTTGACAAGCGAACAGGCACCTGATGGTGAACCCTTAACAGCCCTTGAGAGCTGAAAACTTCAGTCAAGAGACCCCACAGGAGAAGCAACAAACCCAGAATGAATACTCTCAACTAAATATTTCTGCCTACAGTGAGAAAAGTGACATTAATGACCAACGACCATACCTGAGACGGTATGAGTATTATGAGGAAAACACACAGCAGAACAGCTTGCAAGATACTACACAGCAGTAAATGCACACACTGCTACTTAAGTAAGAATCTTCATCTTCAACTTCTATCCTTTTCGCAGTGCTGTACTGCTAGGAGCACTGCCACAAAAGTCTAGTATAACCTTGTGATGTCTCCCAGTGCTACTGGGTTTTGGAGGCAGAAATCCAAGGCATTTAGAAATAAACGTCAACCATTTATGCCCACAAATATATACAACTACATCTGGGAATGCAAATATGTCTGCTGGTGCAGCTTCTTCTATTATTTTAAATTTTAAAATATTAATGTCCAGGAAAGAAAGCCAGAGGACAACCCAAGATTAGTAACAATGACCTATAGAGGGGGTAGAGGGCTTATTCAGAAGTGTTCTTACTGTCGTATTTCACATAACAAATGCTATAATGTGCATTGTATATCGATTTTCCAAATATTATACAACAATACAGGCCAATGCTGACTGTATGCCCAGAGGCTGGAACATCTGAGCAGCCCTACTTAGTTGCAAAGACTGTATTTCGACAAACCAGTCTCACAGAAAACTGGCTGGAAAATGCCCTACCTTCTCTTCCTGATGTACTCTGTTGGCATTTTCCATCTGAAGGCTGTGCAAGGACAGGATTTTGTCGATCTGATGTTGCTGCTTCTCTAGCTCCCCTTGGAATTCATTCTTTTTGAGCTCCACAGCACCCCTCTCTGCTGCTGCCCTGCGGACTTTGCCTTCCAGATCCATGATCCGACCCTGAGGAAAAGCAAATTAGCCAAAGCAAATAGACATGCTTCCCCCTTGCTGGACTCTTCTCCAACACATTCAGGAAATACCAAATTTCACAGAACTAACAATGTTAATGTCATCCAAGTATTGTGTCAGCTGGTGATGCCTCACACACACACACCAGTTTTACATAAATCACCTGTGCCGTGTACTCTGTAGAGACTATCAGAATTTCAGTTAAAGAGACGTGCAAAGCTGCCACAGTACTTGAACTTTAAAATACTAAAAAAAACACCACCAAAAATATCACAAAAAAAACCCACATAAAAAGACTGCACTCTATAAACTCTTTGAAGTACAAGGGCAAATAATTTTTTACATTTAATCCAGACAATTTTGACATTAGACCCTGTTACACAAAGACACATGACAAGAACTCATTTATAAGCAGAAAATCATTGATCTTGATTGCTGAAAGGGCAGTGACAGTCAGAAAAAATTAACACTATCAAATACTGCTCATACAAACACAGAGGCATAAGATAAAAGAATCAAGCCTGATGCTTTTCTAGTTGTTTCTTGTTGTTCTTGTTGGGTTTTTTAATACTGATTTAGTTTCACAGTAAATGGTTTCTAAACATTTTGGGTAAAAATGGATCTTCAGCAGAAGACATGTAAGGGCAAGGGTAGGGGGATAGGAAGGTGAGGAATATCAACAGAATCAATCCAGGTAGGAAGACCTGGGCATTCTAGGTGGAGTAGTAAAAACAGATAAAATAAAAACTGTGCATCTTCCAAAACTCTAAGAAAACAGACCAGATTTTTCTACACCAGAGTATGCTGCATATTACTGCCCATGTAGTCTGCTTCTCTGTCACACAAAGCAAGAGAACTGAGAGGAGGAGGGGGTGGTGAAGGAAGACACTTGCAATTTAGCTGGAAGAGCAAAGAAAAACACTTATTTCTTTCAGTCGTAACAGCTACAAAGCCTTGCCAGCAGATGAAGGGGCTGACAAAGAGCTTTAGGAGGTCCATCCAAGCCTTTGGCTATGCTTTTATTCCATTTAGAGTGCATGACTACACAGAAGTGAAATTATTTTCAAGCTAACTTTGGGAGAAACAAAGAAGACAACAGTAAAACAGTAAAGAGGACCTTACGTTTCTAGGATATTAAGATCAAGAATAAGCTAGTAGGCTAGTTTATTTTCCTCACCATCAGCTGCCTCACAGCCACGCAGCAAAGCTTCAGCAGTACCGACAAAGCTACAAACTCCTGGTAGCCACCATCCTGACACTACTGTCTAAGAGGAAAGCAAGGGATGGCCAGAGTCCCAGAAGACAGGCACCATACCTTCTGCCAACGGAAAGCTATGACATATCCTTAATCACATGAACAAAGACATGTATCGTGTTTGAATAGTGCCCTCTCTGAGGTGAGACAGTTCAACTCCTAAAGCTGTCAAGTCAGGGCTAAAATTTGGCTCAGTCACAAAGAGGGTATAAATTCAGTGGAAAAACCTAGGAGGACCTCTCATCAGCCATTTTTAATCACCAGACTGTTAGTTTTCAGGCTTGCTTGTTAAACAAACAAACAAACAAATAAAACATCCAGCACACATTGTGACAGACCAGAACCTTCACTCACATATTGCTCAACTTCAGAACATGTGCTCCAAAAAACAATTAATACTCAAGCTCAAATGTTACTGAAAATAGTTACCATTACACAAGGTAACAATTCCACATGAGTTTTGTGTCCTCCTTAGGAAAGGTTTCTAAGAAACACAAGTTCAGATTTTTAGACTCTATTTCTGAAAGGCAGATTTCTTTCTACTTGCTGGGAAAGCATGCATATGCTCTTATGGGTCATGTAGGACAAAAAACCTAACATATGCAAATTGAAGAGGCCCATTCAGATTAAAAATGGCATGCCAGTCTCAGTGCACACATAACTAAGAAGTAAAACAGAGGATGGCATCTGCCACATCTGCAAATTGAAACGCTACAAGATAGCTGAATGCTTTGTGTGAGCAGAAGTAACAAGTACCATACAGACAGGTCTTCAAGTTTTGGATCCCCCTCACCTACAAAGAGGTATTCCTCCCATTCCCCCCACGTCCCACTACTAAATAAGCAACAGCAGTAATATTTGTGAAAATTCCTACAAACAAGCTGAAGCTCCTGGCCCATGACAAGGAAGGGAAGCATCCTTCTTGTTGAGGAGTATGGTTATTAAACACACAAGTACAGGACAACACGCAGAGCAATAGGAAAGTTACCTGCAGATCCACGCTGCGAGAACTTGTAATCCAGTAATTGAAACCCAAAACAACAATGCACGCCATGAGCGCAACCACAAGAAGAGGTGGAGACTTCATCCTCTGCAGCTGTTTCCTAGTCCTACCAGATCAAGAAAAAAGCAACCCCAGAAGAACGACAACAACGTGGAAACCTGCAAATTAAAACAGACATGTTACCTTGCATCCTCCACTAGAGGTGTTCTATAACACACTTAAACTTTCACCGCAGTAACCCAGCAGCTCTCAGCTGAAGAGACTACACCCAGCAAGAAAGGCACACTGCCTAGGAATTTCCATCTGAAGGATGAAGAAAGGCCATCTCATTGAATCACTGAATAGGCATGGTTGGAAGGACCTCTGAGATCACTGAGCCCAATCATCATAAAAAAACCCAAAAAACCCCCACATACAACACCCATACAACAAAACCCCCAAACAAATAAACACATACACCAGCACATAATACTCACAAAAAAACCCCTCTACAATCTCAGCCACTAGAGAATGCCCTGAAGTTCCACCTCTACACTTTTCTTGAATACGTCCAAGGATGGTGGTTCAACCATCTCCTTGAGCAGGCTGTTCCAGTGCATCACACCTCTTTCAGTAAAGAAATTCTTCCTCATGTCCAATCTGAACCTCCCCTACCACAACTTCAGACCATTTCCTCTGGTCATGTCATTATTCACTTGGGAGAAGAGGCGAACACCCACCTCCCAACAACCTCCTTTCAGGTAATTGCAGAGGGCAATGAGGTCTCCCCTCAGCCTCCTCTTCTTCAACCTGAACATCCCTAGTTCCCTCAGCCTCTCCTCATAGGACTTATTCTTCAGACCCTTCACCAGCTTGGTAGCTCTTCTCTGGACACAGTCCAGCCCCTCCATGTCCTTCCTGTAGTGAGGGGCCCAGAAGTGAACACCGTGCTGAGTACAGGCACATAATCACTACCCTACTCCTGCTGGCCACACTATTCCTGATACAAGCCAGGATGGTGTTGGCCCTCTTAGCCACCTGGGCATACTGCAGGCTCTGCTGTCCTGCTGTCAACCAGCACCCCCAGATCCCTCTCTGCTGGGCTGCTCTCCAGCCACTCACCCCCCAGGTCTGTAGCACTGCCTGGGGTTTTTGTGACCAAAATGCAGGACCCAGCACTTGGCCTTATTGAACCTCACAGAATAGGCCTTGGCCCATGGATCCAGCCTATCCAGGTGCCTCTCATACTTTTAGCTTGTACATAGAGACTCATATGGGCTTGAGGTGGAAGTCTTGAATATTCTTAATAATATAAGGAAAATCTGCAATAAACAGAACAAACCACGCATCCTTTTACCATGTATTCAACCCAAAAAGCTAATTGTACAACACTGATCTACAGATACAGGATAGATTCCTTGTTATCTCATTTAGTCTGAAAATAAACTTAGCTTTACCATTTCAGGAGTATTCCCAAACTTAGGTAGTTTTCTACTTAGTCCCTGTGATAACACTATTTTAACCTTTTGGTTCCAAGCTTTTAAATAAACAAACAAATCAGGTTAAGGATAAGCAAAAAAAAAATAAAATAGCAGACACACTGTTGATTTCAAGGGTAAATTGTGTTAAGTGACATTCGTTTTGATCCTCAGATGCTTTCTCTGCTCCTAACAGAAAACAAATAAACTTCCTTTAACAAAAAAGCAGTACCACGGGTACTTGTGTTTGTTATTGAGACACAAGTTGTTTCCGTGGAACAGCCCATCGGACCAGAAAAGCAGGGGCAAAGGACAGTTGCAATTCTGTTGGAAATAGACCATACTGATCCTACAAGATGATGAAACCTGGTCTTACTGAGTGTAATAGCGTCTAGCTCGATGTATCCGTAAAACTCCACTGGGAATCTTGGGCACAGTCTGTAAACCAAGACGAACGTTTTTCTTTCTGCACTCCTGCAGACAAAAGCCAGCAAGTAAGAGCAGAGAAGACCAAAGAGACAGCAAACACAGATGTAACACAAGACACTAACTAAATCGGAAATGGCTACATCTACTATTAATATATTGTGCAGTCTCTCAAGGTGAGTACTCTTAAACAAACTAACTTCTTCCTTAGAAATACCATTCACAGCTTGTGTTGTACTTGAAAATTAATAAATGGCAGCAACTCTCAAAGGATTTACCTGTGGACACATGCTGTAATCACAGGGGAAAGGAGGTGATGCCAGCAGTTAGCAGGCACCAGCAATGCTGATTCTACTGCATATCCAGCATCCAAGCCTGTCAACAGCTCATCTACACCTACACCATAAATCCCCTGCAAAATCCTCTTTTCCAATTCAGTTTATTATATAACCCACCTTCCTCTTTCCTCAGAAGGGAGTGCACAGTACTGCCAGACTGGTGAACATTTCAAACCTATTTATTAATTTGCAAAGTCTGTGATTTTTTTTACTTTTGTGGACAGGGTATATATAGCACCTACAAGCAAAATGTGTTTCCTGAAAATGCTGCTTCTTTATTTATGTACACACACAAAAATCCAAACCAAGAAAAAAAAAAAAGTGTGCATAGCTGCATAGGTTCAACACCCAAGGCCAATGTTTCTTGTCTAAGGAAACCTCAGCTACCAAGCAAACACACATGCAAGCACAGCTCCAGTGGACACCCCTGGGGCCATGCACAGCTAAGATAAGTTAAAGAGAAAAAGCAAAGGTACAGGGAGGAACCATGTATTTTTTTTGTTGTAAAGCAAATAATAAAGACGTAGTAGACTAAAACACACACACACACAGATAAGCACAAATGTTCAATATAAAGCTAAGAGCTGCAGAAACACGTACATCTTGCAGAGATTAATCTCCCACTGTGCCATCCCAGCAGGAGCCCCTGAGAAGAACAGAGCCATCTCAATTTACACAGATTCCCTAAAAAGCAAGAACCACAGATTGCCAGAGTGGCAAAAATGAGAGGTGGAAAATGGGGATGATCAGCACCACCACACTGGCTAAGAACAAGATAATTTACTTGCTTTTGCCTACTGGAATAAAATGCTACATTTCAAAAAATGCATCTTGGAACCTGTCATGAAGTAATTAGTATCTTCTTCTTGTCTGTAAGAGTATTAATTGGTACACTTAAATATGGAAAAATTACTAAAGATGACACTGCACGACACATTTCTAGCATTACTTGAATAAAATAATTGGTATTTTCCTTCTAGGAGTCACAAGTAGAGACAGTAGTCCACATAATCAGCAGTAACAACTTGCACTGAAATTTAGCTACTGGAAAAATACATGGAACCAGCTGTTTAGCTTGAAAATTTTCTGTGGTAAAGCGATTATATTTTTCAAAGGAAGAATGAGTACTGCACCATGCAATTTAAAGCCCAGGCAAAATATCAGGCTAAGGAATGCTGATACACCTACCAAGTGCAGAAACAACCAGGCAAGAAAGCATTGATTTCACTAAAGCAAGTTTGACTACAATACAATTTTTTTCTCTAGGAAATCCTATTATCCTTAAATAATTCATGGGAATATATTTTTTACTCAACATAAGGAAAGACAAAAGGAAGAGGAAAGACATTAAACACACAGAAGGATCTTCCATCAGACTAGTCAAAACCTCTTCTACTGACAAGATAGTTAGTTATACCCACCCATGAGTAAGTTGAAATAAAAGGTACTAGAAAACTGGTTTTATATTAAAAAAAAAAAACAAACAACAAAAAACAAGAACAAACCAACCACCTTAAAAAAAGTAATTCTTAAAAAAAGTGAAACAGGCAGCAAACATTTGTGCACCCACTCTTTAAAAAAAAAAGTTGACGGTTTGGGTGTGGGTAGAAAGGGAGAGGTGGCAAAAATAAGTCAAAACCTTTCGTTTTTAGGTTTTTAGATGGTTCACACACAGTAGTGACCATCCTTGAAAAATAAATCCAGTTAGTGGTTCTCACTCACGGCGGGATGTCACCCAGAAGTGCCACCATTCCCAGCTGCATGACAAGAACCAGTTACAGCCAGCAGCAACCTCTGTGCTTCCAGGGGTGCACTGACTGCCTGCAGGGTTCAGAAACTGGGTCTAGCACACTGCCACAAAACACTGCACACGGATTTCTTAAGATCTTTTGCTGTAACACTGTTTAGGTGTGCTTTTTTTTTTTTTTTTGCAAGCTGCAAGCCAAAGAGATCAAACAAACGTTTTTACTATGGAGATTTAAAGTTTGTACAATGCACTCAAGCCTGCTGACCACTTTGTAAATACCTTTCACAGAAACCCACAAACTGCAGGCTGAAAGTCAAAAAAACCAAACCAAACAAACCCACAAAGCAACAACAACAAAAACACCAAAACAAATAAGACAATGAAACAACCAAAAAAATCGCAAAATAACGAGCAAAAAACTATTCAGCAACAGCCACTTTCTAAACTTTAGTACTCTGGACTACTGTCTCACTTTGAAGTGGCAACCACTACTAAAAAGAAGTGTAAAATCCTCAAACACCGATGTCAATGAGTCACTATTTGCCCAAACTATCAAGTTACACTTTTCACATGACTGGGAAGAACCACTTACAGCACAACGCGTTAAGCAACTGCACTCCCATACTTCTCAGGAATAAGCATCATTAGATACAGAATTCAGACTCTAGGTCTTCCTTTTCTAACGCACTTCTACCTACAATAGATCAAAAGAGCCTGAAAATACAAAAAAAAAAGCATTATCTGTTCAGGGGGAGGGTGACTGTTACCACTTGTCCACTAATTATATTTTTTTAAATCAGGAAGTATCTCTTATTTCAAATTACTCTTTTACAAGAAGCTCACAACCCATCACCCACAACGTCCTGCTCCTTTATTTGATCGAAGAGAAATCTCCAACAGGTGTGTAGCTAAAAGATGCCAGAGGATGAAGGCAGGTATTTGTTCCGATGAAGGAAGTTAGGCAAGCAGAGGTTAACTTGACAAAACCTTCCAAAATGCCCACAAAAAGTTTCTGGGTGTGCTGTCTAGATGCACCTAGGCTACCACCACCTGCAAATACTGAGGAATGAAAACAAAATTAAACACACAAACTTACACATCAGGGAGATCTCAAGT